CAGATTCCCGCCAGGGGAGCTAGAGCAAGCTGGGTTCATCACTACAGGACACATGGACCCAGTGCCAGGCTCTGTAGCAAAGCATTGTGCTTTTTGGCATATTTCTCGACAGTCTCAAATGGAGCGGTTCCAAGCTGAAGCTCCAGCTGAGAGCTCATGGTGGACAGAGGGAGAGAGAGTAGAGTGCATATCGCTATGTGAGAATGGTCATCTCTGCCAACGAAGAGAGCCACAGAGGCCAGAATGACACACTTTGAACAGATGACAGGGACCTGAGTGTTGGCCAACTGGGATCCACCCGTGGGATGAATGATCTCATACAGGAAGAAAGGACAGGACTGGGCTGTCCCTCCTAAACTCCACTTCAAATGTAGCATAAACAGAGCATTGAAACATATATGATCCTGTAAGGCACAGTGTGAAAACCAGAACACAAACAAATGAAGGGATTAGGATTTGCGTTTTAGAAGAGTAATAATTGAATGGCGTGCAGAGCTTCATCCTCTTTGCGTGGTGAATCCATTATTAATCCTTTACAAAGTGGCTCTGTTGACTTTGGCCTAGTGTGAAGGTTTGGCTCCAACTTGTTACTTGAATCATTCGCTTGTCTTCAAAGTCTTCCTTCCACAATCACCTTCTTCCAGGTATTTTGTGGTAAACTATGGTTGTTCCAGTTGATCCAGTGATCTCCAGTTACTTGTGAATAAAGGAAATATTGAACTTTTTTTTTTTCTGTTAATTTACAGTTATGGAAAAATACATTTTTGCACAAGACTCCTTTGTAAAACCAAGTATGCCCCATGATTTATGAGCGTGTAGAATTACCTTTAGCAGCATTAATGTGAAGTAACTGTTCTGTGTATAGTTTGATCAGTCACTCAGTCATTGTGGAGGAATGTTGGCCCACTCACACAATACCTTGTAATGACAGTAAATAAGTAAAAAAAAAAAAAAAAGGTTTGCTTGAAATTCTTGCAAATTTGTTGAAAATAAAAACAAAAATCTAACACACAGTATTTAAAGCCATTGCCATCACTGTGTATATTGAGCTCAGGCACATTCTGCTTCCACCAAGCATCTGTCAGATATTTCTACAACTTGATTGGACTCCACCTGTGATTAGGGATGGGTACCGGTATCCGGTGCCATTATGGCACCGGTTCTGACATAAACGGTAGTAACCAGACCGAAAAGCAGCGCACATTTCGGTGCTTTTTTTTCCTGAGCTGTGATACACTTTGGATTCTAGCCAATCATTTTACCTTTGCAAGGATAGTAGGCGGGTCCAGGTACGTATGTTCTTTCAGAGCAGAACTACAGATTAAAAATGCCCAAGGCGAAGCGGTCAAAGTCTGGCTGTACTTCACAGCAAAAGATGCAAACTCAGCAGCCTGCAACAAGTGCTTTAAGCTGATACTGTGATACTGTGCAAAGGAGGTAACACCTTGAATCTGACGACGAACCTGGCGACGCTTAGCGTTTTTTAAAAGCCGAGAAATGCACCGAGTTAGAAACATCCCCCAAGAACCCGAAGAGTAGAGTCCTGGCCCCTAGCCCTGCCAGTGTAGCAGAAATGATGAGGATGATGATGATGCAGCAGCAGCCGTTCTTCTCTGCGTGAGTAGCTTAATGTTGTTCATGTGTAATTTATGTTGAGTAGGCTAACCACGTTATTACATTAATGCATGTAAGGTGAACTAGCAAACACCGTCGTAGTTACATGCTTCTTGTTTGATGGCAGATGCTCCCTTCACCCTGGCCAAAAAAGCTAAAATGACCACAGAAAAAGTGGAAAACAGCTAAACATGAGAGGTTTTTGGACAAAGTTTGTGGGTTTTTTTCCATTCTTTAAGCACCGGTTCGAGCACCGTTTAAGCACAGGCACAGTTTCAAATGTACCGGTTTGGCACCGGTATCGGATAAAACCTAAACGATACCCATCCCTACCTGTGATAAATTCAGTTGGTTGGACAGGATTTAGAAAGGGACACACCTCTTTATTTAAAATCCCATTGTTGACAGTGCATGTCAGAGCACAAAACCAAGCCATGACGTCTAAGTCATTGTCTGTAGACCTTTGAGACAGGATTATATTGAGGCACAGATATGGGGAAGGGTACAGGAAAAAAATGGCCTCCATAAATGGAAGAAGTTTTGAACCACCAGGACTCTTCCTAGAGCTGGCCGCCCAGATAACCTGAGTAAGGTAGAAGGGCCTTTGTCAAGGAGGTGACTGAACAACCTGATGGTCACTTTAGCTCCAGCATTCCTCTGTGGATTGAGGAGAGCCTTGCAGAAGGATAACTATTCCTACAGCACTCTACCAATCAGGCTTGTGTCACCTGGCTACTACCATTCCTAAAGTGAGACATGGCCCTGTCGGCATCATGCTGTGGGGATGTTTTTCAGCAGCAGGAACTAGGAAACGAGTCGGTATTGAGGAACAGCAGCAATGTACTGAAGCACCCTTGATTATAACCTGCTCCATGGAAATATGGACTAGGCTGAAAGTTCATCTTCAAACATGGTAATGACCTTAAGCACACAGCCAAGACAGCACCCGAGTGGCTTAGGGAACACTGTGTGAATGTCCTTGAGCGCCCCAGCTGGAACCCAGAATTGAATCCAATTCAACATCTCTGGAGAAATCTGAAAATGGGTGTGCTCTGATGCTCTCATTCCAACCTGATGGAGCTTGAGAGGTTCAGCAAAGAAGAATGGAAGAACAACAACAGGTGTGCCAAGCTTGAGGCATTATACTCAAAAAGACTTGAGGCCGTAATTGCTGTCGAAGGTGCTTTAACCAAGTACAAAGTAAAGGCTGTGAGTGCTTTTATAAATGTTATATTTATGTTTTTATTTGTGATAAATTTGCAAGAATTCTGTAACATGACACATGTGTTACAGGTGAAGCACTGTGGATACTTTCCAGATTCACTGTGTATTGTGCTAACATCGACATTTTTGATTAAAAAAATAATTTAATACTAATAGTGAAACATTAGATGAGGAAATGAAAAACAAATTGCTCCTTTGATTTAACACATCCCAATAATTCCCTCAAAATATAATGGATTCAACCTGAGGCAAGTTAAATTGTATTTAATTGTATAAGATAATCCACATCGAAATCAGCACATCAGCTGAATTGCAAAATTACTATACGTTACTGTATAGTAATGTATAGCACGTAAACTTACGTATAAACTAAGTGTGACCAATCCTGTTGCATTTCACATCATACCAACCACTGAAATATTAGTTGATGTTAATCCAAAGTTTAATGCAAGGCAGTTGTTCTAATGTAGTGGTCAAACCATTGTTGGGCTGCCATTCACTGCATTGTTTCCCTCAGTGGTGAACATCAGCTAGTGAGTCATTCTGAGTTCTTTGTGCTTCCATTTTTTTTTTCTTCCTGTGATTGAAAAAATAGTGCCATCTCAGGGGTTGGTTGAAGCATGTGGTTGGCTGAGTCACTTTTACTTTGACTGAGTGAGTAAGAGGATGAAGCCAAAGTCCATTGTTGCGTTGGCACATACCCATGCTGTTTAGCTTATTCACATCCTAAAAAGACTGATTTGACAGTCCTGGTGTTTTATTCCACTAGAATATAGATCAGTTCAGTTTTCAACTCTTTTTAAAAATCTTTTTTTGTATGTTGTAGAAGTATAATTAGGGCTGTGCTATATGACCCAAATCTCATATCCCATTCTATGACATTTCTCATCCCAATAACAATATACATCACAAAATAGTGCTTTTTCTGTCAATTCTGTGAATCTCAGGCAGAGGCAACTGAAGAATGAGCATTTCTTCCTGTTAAAAGGGAGTTTTTCCTTCCCACTGTCACCAAAGTGCTTGCTCATAGGGGGTCATATGATTGTTGGGTTTTTCTCTGTATGTATTATTGTAGAGTCTACCTTACAATATAACGCACTTTGAGGCAACTGTTGTTGTGATTTGGCGTTGTATAAAAAAAATTGAATTGAATTGAAAAAGAATGACGCGATATATGAGTTTGAAATTGATACCATAGGGTGTATCTACTAAAAATTTCAGGAGAATCTCAATCACCTTTGTCCTCGAGGTCAGAGGTGTGTACTCTGTTTGGTGGTTTGGTGACAGCTGACATTAGCCATGTTTCTTACCAAGATGGATTTTGGGATCCGTGTGTGTGTGTGTGTGTGTGTGTGTGGACAAGAAGCTGGAAGCAGCAGACTGGTCTTGAACCTGGTGACTGCACATCATCTCGAAATATGTGTCAAGGTCACATCTGCTCATGGGTGTACCCTGACTGGTGCCATCTGTCATTATGAGCCGGTCGAGTCTGGCATTACGCACACGTTCATCACCTGAAATACTGTCTGTCAGCACATGCAAACATACATGGATTTAGTCTTCATGTAAAGAAGGGGAAAAAAACTACACTGAACTTTTACTGGCTTGCTGTGTGTCTGGGAGCCATAATTGAATATCTAACAAATGTTTTTCCACCTCTCTAAATGAATACATATTTTCATTGCTCTTTATTACAGATGAGGTGGTGTACTTATTTTTGCTGATAGTGCTTCATTGTAGCAAGTATGAAGTATGTGTAGGTGGCAGGATGCATATCTATTCCCTTTCCAGCTACAGCGGGGGGGTTTTTTTCTTCTTCTTTCAATTACAGCAGAAAGCCTCATAAAATGAAACGTCTGTATGCCAACACATTACATCTGTGCTTTGTGTTTCCACCGAAGCAGCAAATAAACAGAGCAAGCAGCATTGTTTATATTATATCATACATGTGATTCGATTAATTTGATGAAAAGTCCGTATCTTCTTGCTTCGATTTCTTTATTCAGTTCAGTGAAGTTGGAATTTATATGGTCTGGCACAGAAATGAATGCATAAATCTACTAATCATTAGGAAAATTTGTACGTGTGTGAAGGAGAATTTGAAAAATGCAAAGGGAATAGAATTCTGAGTTTAATTTACGCTTTGTGTGTCGATCCTTCAGAGATTCAGAGGGCCGGAAGCTGTGTAAGAAAGTGAAGGTGGACCCGAGCTCCAAACGTGGAAGAGCAGAGCTGCTGCATTACAAGTGAGTAACCAGCAACTCAGCTGGCTGTCAGATGCTTATCCACACCTCAGTGCTTTTTGGAAAGTGATACCGTGCTTGCAGCTTAAGAAGTGCATTACTTACAGTTTACTCCTGGTGTTGAGAGCATTGTGTCCCGCGTGTCTTTCAGAGATGGGACATTCCACACGGAGTACAGCAGGCCTGCTACTTTCAAGGTCAGTGCGAATCTGCGAATCTGCATTCTTTACATGAACTGTTGTCTGCTGTGTAGTATTTCCTAATTGCTCCTCACATTCAGAGGACTAATTATTTTACCTCTGGCTCTACAGAGCCCTGCCTTCTGCTTTCATTTCTTTCTTCTTCCTTCTTTTTCATTTTGTTATTAAGTTTATGAATGGACAAAATGTGTGGTATTTTCCAGGGAAGAATATTAGACACAATGTTAAGAATTTGCCTGATTTTTATTCATTTATTTGTTTTTGTTTTTTCTTTGAGAACCAAGTTGAAAATCAGAAGCATCTGTGGTTACATGTAGTTGGCTATTTATGAAATCATTTATAACCTGCATTTTAATATCAACAGTGCATCAAATAACAGCTTGAAAACAGTGTCACTGTGTGAAAATGTGACCTTTATAGCAATGACCCTGCAAATTCTTTATTTCTTTGTGCAGCCCCCCTCAGCTTTATAGTGCCTTACAGTTAGTTTCAGCTCATTGTTTATCTGCCTGCTGTGCAACCTTGCTCTCATGGCACAATCATACTCTCACTTTCATAGCGATGCTTTTTGTCACGGCAGGCGGTAGTTTTCAGAGGAAACGCTGCACAGATTGACTCTGCACTGTGTTCTCAGCACCAAAGAGAAGACGGAGCATATTGACCATATTGAAGCACTTAGCAGCAAAAGAGCGAACTAAAAAGCTAAAAAAGAGAAAAGTCATCAGATTATCATAAACATAATTTTAGATGACTGAGAATTTTAATGATATAATGGTAACAAGCTGGTGGTACGGAGCTAACGCTGTAGCTAACGCTGTTGCCTCGCAGCAAGAAGGTCCTGGCTTCTCACAGCATTATGTTGGCTTATGTTTATGATTGTTTCTGTGTATTAGTCTGGTGATAACGGGAAGCTATCAGTGTGTGTTTGTGATAATACAGTTAGAACACAAAAAACTTTCAGCTGTGAAAAAAAATGCACATCTGTCTACATACCCAGAAATTCACAAATTAACTTATTAATTTCAGTTTAGCCAAAAACTCGTGGATCTGAAACAGAAATTCAAATATGCTTTTATATCTTCGTTTGTATAACCGAGATACAACCAGTTGGCAGACAGTTGAGTTGCAAAGAGATGCGTTGCAGACAAGCTGTGCTCATTGACACAGACTGACTGTGATTGATGCCAGTGTATTGGCAGTCTGTCTGCTTTTAGAAATTATCTTGCAATTATTTCCAAACCTTCACTAATCTGTCTGAGAGTCGTTGCAGTCAGCCTGAATTAAATTGCAGTTTGTCACCTTCCACAAGGGGACCTTGCAGTCGCCTCACAATCACCATACTTAACAATGTTTTATTGGTTTTATTGACTGCAGACAGCAGCATTTATTAATGCAAACAAAATTAAGGGTATTTTCAGTGCTTTTATAATGAGCTGTAATTGGTGGTATACTACCTAATTTGAAGTGTGAATGTACTGAAATATAATGCAGACAGCAGCCACATTATAGTTTAATAAGTCAAGTGTAAGCAGAAAGGTAGCCTGAGTTAGGGCTGCTCGATTATGGCAAAAATGATAATCACGATTATTTTCACTGAAATTGAGATCACGATTATTTGACGATATTTATTTAACCCTTTAAGACCTACTATAGAACCAAGTCCACCAGAGCTTATATTATTTTTTTTTACATGCTGTAGTGCCATTTGTGGGAGCATTTCAAGTTGCTATACATCAATACAACAGTTATAGCCCATATTTTAATAATATGTATGCATTAAGTCCATAGTAATTACATAAATTGCAAAAAAGTGCAATAAACTACAAAAAAAATTTGAAAATCGCTTTTGTTTACATATATTTCTACTTGGAGAAATTTAAGAGGTTTATCCCTCAAAACTTTAAATACAATAAAGTTGCAAAAAATAGTTTCCCACCACAGGAAATTTATTTTGAGTGTCTTCATAGTTTTATTTTGGAGATACAGCAATTTTTATATACTGCAGGAAAAACAAAAAACAATCCTATGATGCAAATTTGCAAAGAAAACAGCAGGTGCATCATTTCACTGTGGGAAGTGTTACGAACAGCTGATCGGATCGGCAAAGCGTGTTTCTGGAATATTATGTTTTTGTTCCTGCAAGCGCTTTTTATGCAATTTTTGCAAAGCTATATGTGGAACGAAACCGTGACCGAGGACAAGCTGATGGCATCAGATGTAAGTACAACTCCTCCGGTTTCATATGCAAAACAAATTATTGCGCTAGCTTACACGTTCAGGTTCTACAGGGATTTAAAAATAGTTACGCAAAACGGAGCGTGCTGCTCTGACTGGCTTTAAAGGGTTAACAATAACTTTAAAAAAATAATATAAAATAGTGTGCAACACCACTGAAGTTTTTTTTTTTAAACTCTCTTTTCAACCAACGGCAGTCACTCTCCAAATAACTTCTGCTTTGCTTTCCGAGCTTCCCTCGGGTCCTCTTAATCAGCGGTCTCCAACCTTTTTTGCGCCACGGACCGGTTTATGCCCGACAACATTTTCACGGACCGGCCTTTAAGGTGTCGCGGATAAATGAGTGAGGGGCTAATAATCGGCTCAGTCATTTTTAATGATCGTTGAAAGCCCAGATCGTAATAGTGATTAAAATTCGATTAATTGAGCAGCCCTAGCCTGAGTAGTGTTTTCCCTGGAGTAAGTAAAGATATAGCATGACTGCTTAATCCTTACTAAAGTAACCTTGTTAACTTCAGCACAGTGTTGTCACATATTAAAACTGAAAAATACTTCTTTCTACCTGGTATGATTTATCTTGGGTTGAACTTTTTAACCGGCTGTTTAAAGTCCATTTTCCACCACGAAACCACACTGGTCATTTCAAACGTTTACCTTTCGTCTAAGTGCACCCTTTACTCCTTCCTGGGGTGCAACTAGTGAGAGCAGCTACTCAACTGAGTGTATGTTTTTGCTTCAAGTGGTGAAAAGTGTTGGTTGTTTTTTCACCCTTAGCGGCAACAGTTTTCTTGCATATTTTCAAAGTACTGCGCTTTGTTAGAGGTTTTTGAAGTAGCTCCATCTTCAGGTATTAAATGATCATTGGAGGCTGTCACTTGGCTCTCGCTCTCAGACATGCCCGGCCACGTCTCATTGTTGATTGCACTGGGAACATAAGCTGTTGCTATAGCAATGATATCATTACATGACACTTTTATGTCACATAAACATTTATAGTGGTGTTATGGCAGATTATATGGTTATGACACAGCCCTAGCGTCAAGTGATTGATCTTCATGTTAGCTACAAGGTGTGTTTGTAATAATATAAGACTGCAGCAAGCCACACCTGACAGGTTTAATATTTTTGAACATGTGATGCAGAGCTTCTAATGATGCTCTTTACAGGTCTGCACTTTGGCTGCCTCAACTAATGCTGGCACACTAGACTGATTTAGCTTATAGCCTCCAGACCTGTTAATGAGGTCATAGCACCATCTGTTACTCTGGTTCTGTAGCAAACACATCCTGAGGAAAAAAATCAAGACCTTAATTTTGTTACCAGTTATCCAGCTGCAGGTTACATATTTAAGGATCACTCACAGGTACCTCTAGCGTGAAATGTTTGGAATATAGAGTGCAATATAAAATATGCATCAGCCACAACAACCATAGAGATGTTGCTGGTCAGCTTAAAGTTTAATGCCTTTCACTGCAAGACAGCTGCTGCATATAGATATTTCCTAAAAGGCAAATTATGACTTTAGATAAAAGTGAAATTAACCGTTTACTTCTCTCCTCTATAATATGGAAATCCTTCTCTTTTTATTTTTTCAATGAGTTTCTACCAGAGAAACTCGTTATAAGGTGGAAGCTGTCACTCTTTTGAATAGTGCATGGTTTTATTACTTTGCTTGCTAGGGTTTGCGCTGTTTCTCTGACAGATTAAAAGGCATCTGAAACAATAAACCTCCACAAGTCTCTGTTTCAACCATTACAAAGTAGTTCTGATAATCAAGTCAAGGTCGTTAAATGTTCCGCCCGTGCACACGCGCCGTCGTTAGAGCACTGCTAAAAGAAATATTTCCTGCTGTTGCCTCCACAGACATATGGTTCATTATATTTACAGAAAGCTTTACCAAGCCCATTAGTAGACACTTAGAGGTACTGAAATAGCGCTGACACCTCTTGGATGCATGAACATGTTCATCTATATGAGCTTCCATCTGGCACAACCTACAGCGTTGCCTCAACTAAATTTAGGAGCGACTTCGGCAACGTAAATAATCACCACTCCATCTTTTTATGTTGGTTTTTCACCCCCATAGGATTATTTTGTGGCAGTGAAAAGTTGTTGCATGATTTGAACTGTTGGCTTTGTTTAGACAGGCTGTCGCAGATCTGTCGTTTTGACTTTGCTTTTTTTTTTTTTTTTCTCTCATTCAGTCGATGGTAGCGTTTTTGAAAGACCCATCGGGGCCCCCACTGTGGGAGGAGAACCCTGAGGCTAAAGATGTCGTCCACATAGAGACAGAAAAAGTAAGTACCAATTTAAATAAACTTTTGGGCTTTGGATTAATTTAATATCCATTTAGCTCCATTTAAGAAATCCAGAACATCACTGGGGACGTACATTTACTGTGATTCACAAGCACAGGCTGCATCTTTCCTCCATTTGTCTGTGTTAAAGTTTTGATTAGCCCCCCGACTCTGATACTGCAGCATCTCACCAACACAAAGCCCCGCACACAAAAAGCAACAGGCTTTATCGTCAAAGAGCTGCTCGGCGTAGTTCATGAGGTCACTCACACAGTCCCGCCTTTACAGCCTAAAAGCCTCCAAACGGCTCTCATCCAGACAAGTCAGATTGCAAAATCATCAAAAACTGCCAGCATATTCACAAACAGCTACCTCATCCTTAGATAAGTATATATGGAATTTAGAAAGACCTTTGTTTTTGGACTATAGCCACTTTGCATGATCCTTATTTATTTTATAGTCTTGAGAGCTTGAGCAAAAGAAGACAACTGGACTTGATTTGTCAAGGCAAGCTTGAGATCCCTTCCCAGGTGCTTCAATGGCTGCTCACGCTTTGCCTCAGGTGATCTGAATAGTTCACATGATGAGGTGGGGCAAGGTCTCACAGTGGTTTCATCCCTGACTTATACCTATTTTCACACCTTGGTTTATGTGATGATGTGGATCGGTAGTAATGGTAGATGGACTGGCTCTTTTACAGCGCTTTTCTAACATTAACTCAGGGTTCAGTGTTTTGCCCAAGGATACTTGGTCACTTTGCAGACTTTAGCAGCCAGGGATTGAACTACCAACCTTCTGATTAGCAGATGATCTGTTTAGTCTGCTGAACTACAGACATAGAGAAACTGGTAATAAATATTTGTCTCATTCTGCACCTTGTTGTAGCCCTCTTAAAGAAGCTGATTAGCTCCTTTCCAATTAGCCCCACACTCTTTTTAAGCCAGCTGTCTTCTGATTGGCTGCCCCTCGCAAACACAAGGTTTAAATAGCAGCTGGAAAATTCTGTTCTCACAGCCAGAGCTTTGTGCCTGAGATGTCCATGTTACTGATGATTAAAAAATGATTAAAGCAGCTTGAAATCTGAGCATCCACCACTGTAAAAGTATATGTGTAACAGAAAACAAAGGCGAGCATAACACAGTAACCCTCCTTTCATTTGAAGAACGAGGGACCTGGTTATCGCCTGCTCTCACCCTGAGGCTTGTTGAATGTGTTAACAAAAGATTGTGCTGAATGTGTGATTCTTATGTTTTTTGGAAGTAGCTGAGCTCATGAAAGTGATGATGAAAACGAGGAAACTGGTATGGGGGGCTGATGTGCCTGCTGTCCAAAGAAGAAAGTCCTCCCTTTCCTTTTTCTGTGATTAATGTGATAAATAACTCTCACACACGGTCGAATACAAAGCTGAAATAACAGATGATGTCATGATTTGCTATTTTAAACCAAAGAGTGTGAGAGAGAATTTCAGAAATCCAACATGGAGCACACTATTAGAGGAATCAAGCTATCGTGTGTGTTGTATATACATGTGTTTTGCTGAAAAGCATCCTGACTCATCTCTTGTTCCCTCCTCGCTCTCGAAGGACTTCAGGAAGCTGCTGAAGAAAGAAGAGAGGCCGGTCCTCATGATGTTCTATGCTCCCTGTGAGTCTGCATTATTACGTTGTTCCTGCAGTGTTAGCAGCTCACAATAACTGGGACAAGCAGTGCTCAGTTTGCTATCCTGCTTGCACATATTGTGGGAAACAGTATGTCTGGAAAAACAAGAGTAGCTATTATTGTCCTCAAATATTACATTAACTCACTTTATAAGGTGTCTAAACCGGGGGAGAGAGTACAGTTTGGGGAATAGGTCAATAAACTAGAGTTTGCTTGGTAATACTAAACCGTTGTAATCAATACTCCAATCTGATTATATATATATTTATGGCACCTGGCAAACATGACACACTGTCTTAGGGCTGTTCGCTATAACGATATATATCGGATGACGATATAAAAACGTCGATCGTTTCATTTTACGCTATCGTTTGTTTCGTGGTGTCGCAAAATAAACTGTTTACGGCAATATTTTTTCATCGTTCTGATGGTCACTGTAGTGGTTCTCTCTCTCTCTTATATTTAATATAACCACACTACGGACGGACAAGCGCCTGTTTTTATGCGTTGTCGTTAGCAACAACGACGGTAACAGCATCGCGTGTCCGCTTGTTTATGTTCCACATAAACCTTTCACAATAAAGCTCAAGATCCTGTTGAGACTAGAGATGGCACGATACCACTTTTTTATGTCCGATACCGATACCGATATCATAAATTTGGATATCTGCCGATACCGATATGAATCCGATATAGTGTTTTTTAATCAACAAAACTGTTTTTTAAATATCTTGCTGCATTTTGTATAAGTTCATACTCAAGTTTAAAACAACAACTACACTAAAGCTATTCTGTTATACCTGTATGCAAAAAAAAATATTTCATAGTTCAGCAATACTGATCAATCTAATAAACTTAAACCTACACCATCCTCCCTATTCTGGTATTTTAAAGAGTACTTAGCATAAATATTAAGCAACCTAACTAATAGGGTTCCAACTCCCAGCAACAACAAAAATAAATAAATAAAAAATAGGGAACCACCCCTCACGCTCCACCTCATGATGCTTAATCGACGTAATCAACCTTAATTTGATGCAGTGTGAAAAAAAATGCACAGAAATCAATTATTTTTCAAGAAATATTAAATAGATTCAACATCTTTCTTCAACAAAATTGCAGACTGCACAGATGGTACCTTCCCAAAGGAAAAAGTACTATAGCTTACTAGGGTATATTAGACTTAACAGTTACTATATACAATAATGGACTTCTATACATTTTACATCAGATTAAAACTTTGGGTGTAAGATTCAGATAAATATTAAATAATTAAAAGCTCGACATTTTAAATGAGAATAAGAAAGAAAAGTATGTCTTTGTGCCCCCTTTTCCCTGTTAATGCCCTATCGGCCCCCCTGGCTAAACTTTGCTAGATCCGCCCCTGCACAGTTACCAGCGTCAGCTACGTAGAAAAAGATCCTCGAGTAGGAAGTAATATTAAATACATTCTAACAACAGCTTATCAAGCTTAAACGTGCTGCTGTTGTTTATCCACTGGTTTCCTCTTTCTGGTGCAAAGTGGGCCAAAAGCAAACAAGAGACACGGACTCGCGACAGAAAAGCCGATCAGCTGATCGTTAAGCAGTTTCATGATTGAAGTAGCAGCCGGAGAGCGAGAGGCAGTCGCTCGTTAAGCTTAACGCAGGAATGCTTTACAAACATTCAGAGATGGACTTACACACTTGCTTTACTTCTCTCGGGGATAACTTTGTCGGAGATGAAATGCCGGGTTGCTAGCGAAGCTCCAAATGCTATCCAGACCACCGACAGGTCCCGCATGCCACAGCCGCTCTATCACGTGATGCATACTGCTCCGACGTGCTAACGTTCTGAGGTGAGTTACGGCGTGTTGCAAGTTTTGTGAGGTGCTTTCGTGATATTTAATGGATCGGATTACATTTTTTATTTTTCTCCGATATCCGATCCAGTAATTTAGGTCAGTATCGGACCGATACCGATACGTAATATCGGATCGGTCCATCTCTATTGAGACTTTTCAAAATAAACTGAATCACGTGAAAGAGCAGATTATTTACGGATGAGAAGTAAAAAAAGAGCCGCCAGGTGCTAAAAAATAAACCTTAGACTCAAACGTTAGAACAGGCTTTTCCCCGCAGCACGCCGTGTAATAAATACTCACAAAGAAAACGGCGGCCGTTACAACTTATGTCTAAAAATGTATCGTTTCATGCATCGGTTAAAACACTCGACTCCAGCTACATGACGCGCAGCTGGAAACACTTCACGCAAGTCGAGCTGCCCGAGATTCACAGAATTTACAAAAATGTTACATTTTTGTGATTTATATCGTTATCGACGATAGATGTCTTATATTGGCATATGAGATTTTGGTCATATCGCACAGCCCTAACTGTCTCATCTTTCTATGTACTACACGTTTTTTATAATGTGGAGAAAAAAGGACTCCAACTAAGGAGATCCTTCTTTGCTGGTTAACTCCACTATTACAAACACAAATCGGATGCAAAGTTCTAAAATAACAGAGCGCTTTTAAAACAACCCGCGTGTTGCCAGGTCTTTTATCGACTGCTTAAAATTACTTGCTTTGTTCATTGATCAGTCCATGCAAAACAAAAAAAACGAATTTCACTTTCTAAGAATATAAACTAGAAATAAAGCAACAGATTATTGCTGTCGCTCTTTGTTTGGCAAAATTGTTAAACAATTAAGCCGCAGCGTCTGTCTGAACGTCAGACCTGCTGATCACTTTGCCAGGATAAGAACAGTCGTTTTTGTTCAGCACGCAGTTAATTGTTGCCTCTTATTGTTCTTCAATAGAAAAGACTTCACATGGATTTTAGTTTTTTTTGTTTTTTTTCCCCAAGCGCTGTGCTCGATTATCCTCAGTGCATCATAGCAGACACAGCAGATAGCATACTGAGAGCTGCTGTTTACCAGGGGGAAAAATCTCCTAGCAGATGATGGAAAATCTTTTGACAGTCGTATAGATTATCATATAGCTGTCAGAGCAGTGTTCCCGTTGAGTTCTCTGTAATAACCTCTGCTTCTCTCCTTTGTATTTTGGTTGCAGGGTGCGGTGTTTGTAAGAGAATGCAGCCCATTTTTCAGCAAGCGGCCACGGAGACAAAAGGGAAATATGTAAGTGTGCTAAATCTGCCCCTCAGTCAGTGGGCCCACTGTTGTGTTGCATCACCTGTCTCTGATCTGCAGCCCAGTCATCTTTGATGCTCGCGCATTAAATGAGATGTGTCAGCAGCGAATGTCAGGGATGTGAAATCTGCAAAAGGTACAGACAGACCAAATAAGGCATTTCCTGCAGGTTGTGTTTCCTGCAAAGACTCTCCCGGGCACAGTACCTGATCAACTTTTGCACCATGTGTTGATTTAGTAGCATAATAACTCAGATGACCTTTAAAAGGCAATTCGAAGGTCCCGATCCTCTCTCTGCTGATTAATTAAGATTTTACCTGTGTTTTGATTGCACAGCAATATGTTTCGAATGATTTTAGCATTTTTAAGCAATGTACAGGAATATGCTGTAGCGGCAGACCGTGTTATGTTTCTTATATGTACATAATTTACATGTTTAGAGTAGTGCTGTTAAAATTACATTCGTTAAAATGATGTTGACGCCATAACCGCATTAACGCTGCAAATCTCCGTTAGGGATTTAACGCAGATCGCCCTGTGTGCTAACGTGTTGACGCCGTGCAGCGTTAACGAGCTAACAGAGATTTGCCACGTTAATGTCATTTTAACGAGATTAACGCTGACAGCACTAGTTTAGGCCCTGACTACTTTTTCCTGTAGTTTTCATCACTGGTGGGAAAGTTTCTTTAGTCTTTTTTTTTTAAATTATTATTTTTAACAGTACTCGTGTCGTTTGCATGAGAAAAATATTATCTCATAAACACTTGTCCTTCAAGGATCACATGAAAAGATAATTAACTGCATGTTTGTTTCATCATCAAGCATGCATTCGAGTAGCGAACATTTAAGCCTCTTAGCTGGGAACTGGTACACTGTTTGGGTGTGTGCACGTGTGTGCGAGGCTGAGATAGGGTGAGGGAGTGCGCCTGTACTTCTGTTTATAAGTGAATGCTGAATTGGTGGTCAGCCAAGTCGTATCGCACATTTCTCGCCTCCGTGTCGTGGCACAGGAAGGCACAAAGGTGACGTCTGAAGTTCTGCATCTTGTCAGGGTGAAATAGCTGAAAAAACACAGGTTCGTGTGGGGATGTGTTTTGATTGTATTGTTTCAGCTTTTTAGGTTTCTTCTGTGTTCTCTCTCAGTACCGGTTGTGACACATAACATGATTTTGTCAGAGCACCGTCCTTTAAAAGGGAATAAGGCATAGAGTTTGTCATGACTCATACACATTCCTCTCGCTATTTTTTTTTTTTCCATGAGCTGTGTTTGGTACAATATTTATTACAGAGGGAACCTGGGATGCTCCAGCTGTTTGATTTATATCAAATAACCTTCTGTACTGGAGAAATATTTTCAGAACTTTTTACTCATAAGCAGTGGAGTTAGGGACTCTCAACCGTGTCAGTGTTGCCAACTGTATCTGGAGCTAATTTTTACTCAGCATATAATTAGAGGTCGTTTTGAAAAACAAAATATTCTCTTGTGTTACATAATGATGTTTTCTATTTTATCCCCAAACAATATTACATGATAAGATGGAATGCTGTGCAGAAGTCTTGAGCCAGCTCTCATTTCTGTGCATTTTGTTAGGATGTGTGTTCTCTGTCAAAATGATCCCGCACTGCTTCACTAATGTTGAGGTCCAGCCTCTGGGGAGGCCAGTCCGTGATTGACAGTGACCCACTGTGTGTGCTTTTTTCTATCCAGGTATGCTTTTACTTCATTGGCAGTGTGTTTGGGATAATTGCCAGTGTTACATGGCTCAAGGGATGGCTAAACCACGCTGCCATTCAACTAGCTTTTAGTAATGTGAAATATAACAAAGGAGAAGGAGGAACAAAAAGCTAAAGCAAACAGAAGAGAGGGACGACCATGAACCAGCCAGTTAGTTGGCTAGAAATGAGAGCTGGCTAGTTCTGGTAAACTAGACGAATAGACACAAAACCACAAACGGCTCAACCCGTGTCTAATAATAAACAAAGCTGTAAAAGCATCGGTGCTGATGGAGGTCAAGACGGCAGTTACAAACCACCATCCTCCACCTTCTTTGTTTTTTTGTTTTTTTTCCATCTGGCGAGCCTTCGGCAGCCAATCAGCACTAAGAATAAATTAGATATGTGAGAGAGGAAGTTGATGAGAATGATAATAAAGACAGTAAATAACAAATAATGTTTTTTAAAATATCAACATGATGATCACGGCACTGAGGTCGTGCTGAAAAATGACACTGTTGCCAATCAGGTGCTTTCTAGATCTGACGGTACTTCATCAAGTTCATGATTTTTTTTTTTCTGGAGCTTTAAACCACGAAGAGCCTCCACTGTGTTCTACAGATGGCTGTAGACACTCACTGTTGAGCCTGTCTACTGACTGACAATGATTTGAAACCAAAACTACTACTTTGGATTCATCACTCCATCAGCCCTGTTGCCACTGATTTTCAGCCTTATCTCCCTGTTGCCTGTTTAATGCTGAAGTGATTCGTAGGTCTGTGCAAAGGCGCTTAACAAAGGCAAAACAACATTCCTCTAAAAGTAGTCTGGTATAAGAATTGGACTGAAAATGAGTGAAAAAGCATCCAATGTCTTAAGAAAACCTTTAGATGATCTGTAGAAACCCTGGAGAAAGCCTGGCTGCTTGGAAGAAAAATAGAAATAAACGAATAGTGGCTCAAGACTAGGGATGGGTATCGTTTAGGTTTTATCAGATACCAGTACCAAACCGGTACTTTTGAAACGGTGCCGGTGCTTAAAGAATGGAGAACACAAACTTTGTCCAAAAACCTCTCATGTTTAGTTGTTTTCCACTTTTTCTTTGGTCCAGCCAGTACAGCCAGACTTTTGACCGCTTCGCCTTGGGCGTTTTTAATCTGTAGCTCTGCTCTAAAAGAACGTACGTACCTGGGCCCGCCTACTATCCTCGGAAAGGTAAAATGATTGGCTGGAATCCAAAGTGTATGACATCTCAGGGAAAAAAAGCACTGAAATGTGCGCTGCCTTTCGGTCTGGTTACTATCGTTTATGTCAGAACGGCACCGGATACCGGTAGCCATCCCTACTCAAGACTTTCACACAGTATTGTACTTCTAACAGTTAAAGTAATTTTCTGCTATGCTAGACATACCATGCTTAACAGTTCACATTTATCAAGTACACCGAGCGGGATCCTACACATATTTTCTTTATGTGGGTGTCTAAAATAAATTGTGATTCCTTTTTTTAATATAGCTCAGACAAATCATATTCTGTCTTTTGAATTAAAAAGTCAGCAGGAAGTTTATAGCGGTGGTGTTTGATTACGGCCTGCTAATTAACAGTCATTGCACCTGTGTTGTTTCACAGTTCACACTTGGAGTAATCCGTCTTTGTTCAGTTTGGAGCCCGCCGATGACGACTGACCTGTCTCGATGTTTGATGTTCTTGCTATTTCTTTTCTCTCTCTGCCGTCATTTTTCTTCACATCTTTGATGGCCCATGTCTCATTTTCCCTTTCATATCATTTTTCTTAAGGTCCTAGCAGGAATGAATGTGCACCCAGCTGAGTTCGACGGCCTCAAGCAGGAGTACGGCGTCAAAGGCTACCCAACCTTCTGCTACTTTGAGTGAGTTGAGTCCTCTCATCCGTTTCTTTTTAGGCTTAGTCCCTGACTTCCAAAGCTCAAAACATCAGAGTAGGGCCACTTCAAATAGAAAGTGCAGTCTCTGCCCATTTAAACAGCAAGCAGGCGTGATGGCAGCAGACTCGCAGCTTGCACAGGTGACCCCTTAAGGTTTGCAGTTCTTTCGTGCAGGTGCAAAGGAGAAAGTTTCTGATGAACTTTGGGATCCTCTGGCCTCATCCTTGAAAATGTACACTCACAGGAGGTGGTTGCTACTGTCAGGGAATAAGGAGAACACATGGGTGTTGGTGTATGGTTAGCAGTGAAGTAAAACTGAAGGGATAATTAGTTGCTTGACCAAAAAAAAAAACAATTCTTGGCATTTAAAGTGTTTAAAGTCCTGCTTGAACATATATTTATTGCCACAGTCACTGAACCACTCTGCAAATAGGCACTAAATCATTCATCTGACGTCACTCTAGGGTACAGAGATATTGGCCACCAGGGATGCAAAGAAGTTTGGGCTTCGGTCTCACTAGATAAATGGCTCTAACTGTGAACTCATGGAGGCCCAGCTTCCACTCTCACAGCCTTCACTTCAGAGGTTTGGGCAAGCTCATGGAGCCCATTGATCTTGAGTTGCAGTTCTTCATCATGTTGACAATGCGTAACAAAAGTAACTGTCTTCCAAAAACGTTACTCTGTGTTGCACTGTGGTGTTTGAACAATCTCCATCAGTCAGTCACTCATTCCAGGATCTGCACTGTTACCTTCCTCAGGGCAATTTCTTATATCAGTAGCCCCTTTAGGTCCACCACCCTTCACATCCCAGTGGCCATGCCATAGGGTGGGCAGTACTGTGACAATGTATACTGATACAAAGGTGGATGATCATGTTAAACACCAAGAATATGTTTAATATGATCATCTCAGACACAGAGAGAAGCTCCACCTATTTGTTTTATTTTGTTTTGTTTTTTTGCGAGGAGCTACGGAAGAGAATTAGGGCCACTGGGGAAAAAAGTGGGCATGTCTTATTTTTTCTTCTTTTACAGAATTCTCAGATTAAAGTCAGAATTCTGACTTTAATCTGAGAATTTTGACTTTTTCCTCCGAATTATTTTTTTCTCAGAATTCTGAGAAACTTCTGACTTTTTTCTCAGAAATTTTTTCTTTAATCTCGGGATTCTGGAAAAGAAGAAAAAAAAGACGTGCCCACTTTTTTTTTTTTTTTTTTTTTTAGTGGCTGTAATCCTCTTCCGTAAGGGGCATCCAACCAGGAGAAAATCTTCTTAAATGGAGATGAATCACAATGTGTTGTTCAGAGTGCAGGCTCATGATAAGATGGTTTTGGTTTGTGAATCATGGAAAAACTTCTTTTGTAGAGTCCGAGAATAAAAATGTGGAGCCAGAAAATTAGCATAACGGGTCCACTTAAAGCTAATATTCAAGCATAACAGAGAAATGTTGCGTTGCCTACTATGTCTTAATAAAAAAGTGAACTGAGTAACTTAAGGTTTCTTCGGACAATTTCGACAGGGCTTATTTAGTTAATGTGAGATTGTAGTTACCTGTCATTGGAGGGCTTATGATCCCGAAAGTCATTTGCGTATGTAGTAGAGAAGATCTATGACTTTCAAGGGTCATTTGGACTTTAAGCGCTGCTCAAGGGCCAAGTAAAATATTATTAGGCAGAATTTTTAAGCACAAACTCTGATTGCCTAATTCACTGGCTTGCCCTGTAACAATGCACTGCACTGTAACAGTAAGTGAGTAAAGTTTAGCTCTTAAACTGGACAGCCCTTCATTATTTCAGCCTCCCTGTCTTCACAAACACGGCCCTCTGATGTGAAGCGAGCCGTTGCATTGTTTCACACAGCGCCGTTGTCTATGCAAAGACTGCCTCTGGTCCTAATAAAGGCAGCGTTTTAAATTATTAAAATGGCCGACTAAGTAAATGGTTTTAATGTGCTGTAGCAGAGTTTTTTTGTTATCTTTAACAACACCTTAAGGCCACATGTGACATTGATTTAGCACTCTCTTTTAGGTGTTGGAGAAATGTATGCTGCTGGCAATCTGATAACTTCAGATTACTGCTCAGCGCTAGTGTCCAAATATGAATAGACACACAAAATCACAGCTTGCGGCCACATACGCAGCAGGAATAGGGAGTGTGACTGATAGTGTTTGTTAATGCAGACACCCTCACCCCCACCCCACCCAGCTGGAGCCTCTCTGCACTGTCCACATATTTACAGTGTTGTTAACTAAGTGCTCCCACGCTGTTCTCTGCTTGTTTTGTTTTTTGTTTTTTTTTAAATAAGTTTACGTTTTTTTTTCTTGCAATGCAAATCCAGAAATAGACACCTGGAAGGAAAAGCAGCGAAATTATGTCATGCAGCGAAGGTCAGCTGGGGATCACGCCCGTAGGCATCGCTGTTTTGTGGGGCACGCCCTAAATATGAGGCTACTGGGGTGCCACCGTGCTCTGCTTCTTTATGTCTCCTGCACTGGCTTTATCATCCCTATTTCCACATTAAACACTCTCTCATTCCAGTCTGGCCTTTTAATTAGACCGGGACTGATTAAGTGCCTCTGTGGTGTGTGTGTGTGTGCTGTGTGTGCGCGTGTGTTCGTGTGTGTGTGTGTGTGTGTGTGCGCCCGCGTGTGTGTGTGTGTGTGTGTGCTCTTGCCTTCTTCCTGTTTGTGTGCACTTCTTTCTATCTCGTGTGTGTACTGTGTGTATGCAGGTACACGGGCATGACCAGCACACTTGTGTGTAGCTGAGCCGGAGCCAGTCTGTTAGCTGCGAGTGCATTAGTGTCAGCACACGGCTAGCTAACGACCATCCGAGCCCATTGGCTTCAGTAATGAGCCCCTCACTGATAAACAGCAGCTAATCACTGCAGGGTAAATCAGCATCAGCACCGTCGGAGTTATCTCTCCATTGCACCCGTTTGCAAGACCAAGTTTTCAAGGTCTTTTAGGTTTTCAGTTACACAGATTAAGAAAGCTTACTCCCCCAGAGTTACAGCACACCTCAAGTTCCTGTCGAATATTCAAACAAAAACCTGGAAGTCTTTCGGCTCCTTTGTCCTTGCCGCGTCCTTTTACGGAAATGCTAGAGACTGTTGGCTAAATGACATTTATTTAAAATTTCCTCTTTTTCTACAAGGTTTCGGTGTACTTTACAGCAGCAGAGATAAAGCAAGTGAATATAGAGTCGGTCATAAATCTCGCTGATTGAATTCCAAGCAGCCACTCTGTGCCACAGAAGTCGGGTTACTTAAGATGCGAGTTTTAAGCTCCAAATCCACAGAGCGTAATCATGTATCACCTTTTAATAGTGTCCGCTCTGTATTTGGGGAGCTGTAACTGCAGTCGTCACCACCTTCTGTGTTTTCAAAATCACCCTGCCCAGAGCCAGTAACTACCCACATTGATCCTTCGACATTGGGCTGAGCCGCCATGTCCGCTTCCCAGCCTTGGTTTAGTCACGGTGAATGCAGTAGATAAACTCATTGCTATGAAGAAAATCTGCTTAGGTTTTGAATCTGTCTTTCAGACTGTGGGGCTGAAGAGCGGCCTCGAGCTCATTTCAAATGCATTACGTCGGGTCACTTGCATTCCTTATGTGCACTTTTTAAGCTGAACTTCAAGACAGAGAAAAGAAATTTCAATCTTGTTAAAATTTTTGTCAGAGACACAGCTCTCTAAAACATCTGGCTTTGAACTGGTTGCGAAAGGCCCGACTCAGCTCTTTGTCAGAGACACTCGGTGCCATCATAACTGTTTTTTTTAAGATCCTGTCGCACATGACCTGGATTACTGCGACACGACTTTTTCAGTCCTGACTGAGATGTTGTTTCAGCCTCATCTAACAAGAACTGCTGATCAAAAGATGCATCCCAGAAAATAAGTCTTTGTTTTCATTTTGACTCAGTTTTAGCTTGAAAAACATCCAAAAAGATCCAAAAGTTCAGTATTTGTTCGTTTTTTTTAAAAAGAAAAACCTTTGCAAGTTTTATGTCAGTTTCTTTCCAAATAACTGAAAACAGCACTTATTGAGGCATTATTATCAAAGTAATACTGCATGCATAGAATCAATAAATCTGATATAAACCGCTTAAAAGATTTGCAGACTTTTAAAATAAGGTTTTTTCCTCCATCTCATAAGTCCAAAAGCAAAGCATACTGAACACACTGACCATTAGTATTGAGCTGAGCTTTAAGAACTGCTGGTGATGATTTTTAGAAGGCATGTTTTGGGTGGGGTGTGTTTTTAAAATTAAATGCAGTAATGTTGCTGTAATGCAAGTTGTTATGTTTACAAAAAGCGTCAAATCACAGACGTCTTTGGCAGTGGTTTTCAAACTCACATTGCCAAGTCGTCATTCTGCCCGTTGCTGAAGTCTGCTTTCAGAGACTATCTGGTTTTCATGCTCCTTTTGTTTCTTAGGAAGGGGAAGTTCCTTCACCACTACGAGAACTACGGCGCCACAGCCAAGGACATCGCAGACTGGTTGAAGAAGTAAGCATGGTCCCTGTCACTTCATCTACTGACGATTTTAAGTAGGACCAAGCAGAGGCTTGAAGACGCCTGGAGGAGTTTTAACTAATAAAAAAGACACGATGAAGCTTCTGAACTCAAGTCTACCTTCTGCCTCTAACAAGTACCCCCCCACCACAAACACATCTTAAATGTCAGGCATCACCTTTTCCTTTTGCTGTGCTCTTTCTCACAAACGCTCTTCTCTCTGCTCACCCTGACTCACCTTGCCACAGTGTCATCAATCTGCACCTGCTCCGTTCCTGTCTCATTTTTCTTTCTCACCTTGGCTCACACTCTGCCCGTAACCCCTCCGTCTCTTACTGGCAGGAAAGTCGCAACTGTCCACAGGCCTGCAGCCAGAGGGCACAGAGCAAGGCTTTCACAGCTATCGCAGGAAACGGAGCGAGACTGGCAGGGGATGTACTCCGTGTGCCTCTGGGCTCTTATTAGCCCAGAGGCAGAACTCACCATCTCCACTCCTAGACTTTGACTAACTTGTTTATTTAGGACTCAGAGACTGATTTGAAAGCAGTGAGCCAGCTGGCTAAAAAGTCTAATTGCAGCTTATATTTGAGTAAAAAGTTTGTTACCTGAATATGCACAATATGACTGAATTAATATATTAAATCTAATTAATTTTAAACTAATCATGTCCTTAAATGTGCTGCACACAACCACCACAGCACATAGAAGCTAGTCTCCAGGCGCTTCACATAATAAAAGTAAAAGTTTACAGTATTTTAGGGAAGCCGAGTGTGTAAGCACTTGGTGACAGTGGGGAGGACATCTTTTTAACTCGAGCAGAAGCAGGCTCCAGGAGAGAGTCTGTCTGCCTTCACCAGCGTAGCTGATTTTCACAGGAATATGTTCCATATGGTTTAAAAAAAAAAAAAAAAAAAAAGAAAGTGGAAAAAGCCTCTCCTGCAAGCACCATTACATTTGCAGTTTTTCGTGTCATATATTTTTTTCTTTTTCTTCATCTGAGATGCTGCACGAAAACGAAAAAAAAAGGGGTGTTTGAAGTAAACAGTGCTCAGAGATTTTTCCAGAATAGTCTATTGTCCTCTTCCTGTAGCACTTTTAGCCGCTGATTTATTTTTCTTTTCTCATTTATCAGCCAAACTTCACATCCTAAATGTTAATGTTGTCATTTTGTTCAGATTCAGCTGTCTCCGATTTTTTTTTAATACCCACCTCAGTAGCTTTCTGCGCTCTTTTCTCACTGGACTGAGAAATGCCCTTTGCTGTTTGCACTGACGGGATTCCTACACCTGCCGTAATGAATACAAGTATTCTGGGGGTTTTGCCAGCAAGAGCAGTTGCAGTCAGAAGCTGTACTGAAGCTACTCTGTTGAATTAGTGAAGCCCCTTCCTTTTGTACGCTCCGCTTTAGTCTCTTGACCTCAGCTCGGTGCGCAGTCTGAATTTGTTCATCGAAAGTGTAGTGTCAAGAATAAAAAAAGTGGACACAGAAGGAGAGGTAAGAGTTGGTATCCTTGGCGATTATATCTGAGCAGCAAAAGATGTCGTCTGATAAATCTTAAGTGTTATCACTCCCTGATGAACCTTGATCCAGAGCTTTTTATATATCACAGCTGTGTATTAGATAGTTGACGTTGCTGGAGGGTTGTTTTTAGCACTCGGTTTTCACTGTTCTGGTGTTGTTAAATATATCAGCCTCGCTGGCTTCAGTGCACTGGCTCAGGCCAGAGCGTGTAACGATGAGGAAATGCTGCAGAGGAGGGCCGTGTATAACAGTGAGTGTTTATGCTGTAGCCACTCGTTCTTGGAACTGGAGCAGTGTGCTCCACCACACCCACAAAGGTGGGGCTGCTTTTGTCCAGATGTGTGTGTGCGTGTGCGCTTTTGTGACATACTGGGTGGAGTGTGGGCTGCAGCTGTGTCTGATTATATTTAATTTTTCTTTACACAGATTACACATAAGCTGGACTGTCTCTGCTTTTCAGTCTCACCTCTGTTGCCCTTGTTGTCCCCCCCCCTTCCTGTTTTAGTCCTCAGCCCCCCCAGCCGAAGACCCCTGAAGTCCCCTGGTCAGAGACAGACTCTGCGGTCTTCCACCTGTCCGATGAGTCCTTTGACAGCTTCCTGGAGGAACATCCTGCTGCCCTGGTCATGTTTTACGCCCCTTGTGAGTAAAAGAGCAAAAGAGCACGGTCTATATTTATCAACTGCTACACGTAAAATATTGTTATGTAAATTATACACTTTTTTCCCCACTAAGAGCCGTTTTAAATTTAAGCGAGGTCCAGAGTTCTTTTAAACTGGTTAAGGGTGATGTAATCGCTCGTGTTACAACTGGGGGGTTCGTAAAAGTTACTTCAGCACTCGCACTCAGTGAAGCACTTTTTCTTTCTTTTTGGTGCTTTCTTTCACTCAGTGTTTGATCAGTATTGGACCATCAGTTAATTATAGCGTTTATACGATGGCAAAACTTTTTTGTTTGTTTGGTTTTTTTGGCCCAAAGCCAGAACCCAAAGAAGTTAAATATTTCACACTTTTAGCCGTCGTGAAGATAGATCCGCCTCGCTTCGAGCTGGTGTGTTAGGGCAGCTGTCTCTCACTTGCTGCAGAGATGCACCCTGGGTATAGACAGAGTGGCAGAGGGAATTAACCGTTAAGCACTGCGGTTACACTCGACTACCTTCAATTCTGACGATATGCTTTGCCAGAAAAGTTTTTCGCTGGTAAAGGGCAAACATGAGCAGTCTGTCAAAACATCTAGCAAAAAGTCCAACGGACACAAAGGCACAGTTGTCAGAGGGCTAGCTTGCGTTTCCTTTCTCGTTGCTATAGTTACTGCAGGATGTGTATGCTAAAAAGCCCAGAGCAGCCCACACCTTGTTTACTGATTTTACAAACGTAGGTTAACGATTAAAAATAACCACAATAAGTAATCTAAGTTGAAGTAATCTAATCGAAAGTAATCTTCCTGCGCAGTAAGGTCAGACGCGCAGATTTAATCTGCCCTGACAAACAGCTAACTCCCATTCTCACTGTTTCTCATGAAAATGTAACAAAATATCAACACTTGGGAGAAATGGCATACATATGGACACATTCCACATTTGACATTAAGGAAAATAAGAAGCTTTGTAAAGCGTGTGGATTTTAACATTTTATAGTTTAGTCTACTATAATCGTTTCATACTTATACGGTGGCTCTGAGAGACTAAACGGACTGCAAATTAAGAAAACACTTTGGCGCTCAATATATGTGAAGCTCTGAGAGTCAGTTAATAACGACAGGAGAGGTCTCTGTGTCTCACTCCAACTTTATTAACTGACTCTCAGAACTTCACATATATTGAGCGCCAAAATCTCCACCCCAACACTTCCCTTCAACTTGGGTGTGAGTGGAGCCACCTGGTGGTCCGCCACAACACCAGCAATAAGAAAAATGCTGCAAAAGCACACAAAACACAACGGAAATAAGAAAAACAGAAACAGGAGGAAAAAAAAAAACAAAAACTGAAAAAACGGAAATAGGAAAAAACATATTTCCAAAAGCACAAGGGAATTGTTTCTGGGGAGACAATAACCTGACGGACCAGTTGCAGGAACCAAAATATGCTAAGAATTGCGCTGGGAGACAGTGAAGTGGAGGATCTATCATTTTTGTGAGGAAAGAACAGATGAGAGGTCAGTGTGTTAGCCTGACTATTAGCCTAAAAATCCAGTAGTATATGAATCATGAGATTAAAACACACTTACCTGGCATGTTTTGGTTCCTGGAACTGGTCCGTCGGGTTATTGTCTCCCCCTTTTGCAGTGTTTTTCTTATTGCTGGTGTTTTCTTAAGTTGCAATCCGTTTGGCCTGTCAGGGCCACCGTATACTTAGTTGATTAAAACTGAAGTAATTCAAACTGAAACTAAATGACATTTTACACTAAAGCCTCAGTCCAAGCTAACTCTGCACTCATAGTCGCTTAAAGTCACTGAATGTCATTGACTTTCTCTAGTCTTGGGTGGCCCCGTTCCTGCTAGCTGTTAGCTGCTTTCTTTATGGTTTCCCTTTATGGGGGTTTGTTAAAGTACTGAATTGATAAAAATGATACGAGTCAGAGTAGAAGAACCAGTAAAATCTTCACAAAATCCCCATCTCAGTGGAAACTAGTAACATTTGTAGGAAGGGTCGTTGTTGAGGCTGTTATTGAATGTGGTCCCATGAAAAGATGGAGTTTAGGTTCAAAATCACTTACAAAGCCCATGATAGTCGTAGTGAAGGAATCGTTAATGTAATCAAGTCAGATAATGCAGCACATGTGGTACTTGTATATATTAATACATGGAGCGAATGATTTCAGCAGCCTGTCAGAGGAGCTCCTCATTCCTTCCTGCACTGGCTAACATTGTGCTCTCGCACGTCCTCTTGGGTCGAACTTAGTCACATAAGTAACATCACTGTTTGACTGTCATGCTCAGTATTAACAATCAGCTGGATAAAGTAACCGAAGGCCGATTGAAAAATGGAAAACAAACTCAAAGACAAAGCGGCTGCAGTAAGTTTCGCTCTTTTGCCCAGCTCGCTCGCACACAAGCTCATCTTCGCAAACCAACACTTCATTGTTTCCATGTGGCTGACATAAGCCTGCTTGTCATCTTTATTCACGCAACATACTTCTGTTGTTACACAGAACTTTGTAAACATGCCAGTTTTCTGTTCAGTAGCTTAGATCCCAGATTGCTTTGCTTTTGTGAAGCCCTCCTGCGTGTGAGGGGGAGGCCAAAAATAGCTTTGTATGTTGGTAAATGTATCACACACATTTTTATTTATTTATTTTTTTTAAATAATGGAAATTTATTTAATTTGATTTGACTGTTTTTGACCTTTGTTTTTTTTTTAGCTACCTGTATGCTTTGGATCACATCACCACCTCCTGCTGTTTACCCCTGTACTCTCTTTCTTCTCTGTAGCTGCTGCCCTCCCTCTGTGCTCATTTTAGACTCGCCTCTGTTAAAATAAACTAATCAGTATAAATAGGATCCTTTAAACTTAGCTTTAACTATAACAAGGATTCATTGCTTTCACATTTGATCTGATACTTGCTGCAGAGCTTCATACCGCCTGGTTGCTGGGAGCACTGCACTCAGTCCAAAGGGCGAACAGGAGCCCCAGCTGTGATTAAAAACATATCCGTGATACTAACACTGCGGGTGGACCCATTCCCTGCTAAAACTCAGTAATATTTTGCAATACTAAACCCTGTATTTAAATTAACTCTAGCAGTTTCACTAAAGAACTATTGATGCACATGAGTATAGACCAAAAGCATTTGCATTGCACTGCAGCTGCAAACCTTGAATATGGACACTTACTGTGCAAGTCTGGGTTCGAGTTGTCGTTTACAACTAAACTGCTTGATTGCTTTGATCTCTTTAATGCTTTTAAATGTGTACATTTCCACAGACACACTCCATACTTTTGTAGTAGTTTTTAGTTTTCCCAGAAGAGTGTAAACTGTCAAAACTATAGAAAACAGGGATCAGTTCAAAATGAGTTGCCATTAAAGATGTTAATATAGTTTTCTCAATTGAAAGCACAAGTGTCAACACAAGGTGTGTATGAGGTATGATCATACAGGTCATATGTAATTATTCCAGGACTCCAAACATTAAAATGGAAGCAGTCCTACAGTCCTGAGACTTCCTGTGTGGCTGTTTAGATCATTCCTTTCTGTCTACCTACACATGCGTCAATACTGGATAACTCCAGTGTTTCAAAACAATGGAAGCTAGATTTGGAGAGCAAAACGGGTGATAAGTGAAAAAGTGTTTTGGGTGTGCTGTATTTTGGCATGCACCACAGTTCACGTTCCCTTTCCCTAAACCCTTGAGGTTACAGGAAAATATGGCGTTGACAGCGTCATCCTGGGGGATGAATTCACAGAGCATAATTAACAAAATTAGGAAAAAACAAGGTGCATATGGACCCTGCAGGCTCTATTGTTGTGTCTTTGGCTTGTAGCCAGAGACAAAGCCCTCATATAAATATATATTTTTAAATATATATAAATAAAAGTTGATTTCTCCTTTATCCATCGATTTTCTCCCATTTGTCTGGGACTGGGTCACGGAGGTAGTAGCCTAAGCAGAGAAGCCCAAATCCCCCTCAGAGAAGAACAGTTAAAATTTCCGGTTTCTGTCTTTTGTTGAGGAAGAAAGCTGAAGAGCGCAGTCTTACCTGGGTTTTTGCATTTATATTGAATTGCCTATTCAGGCTTAAAGCTGCAATAAACTCTCATAGTTTTGCTTTTATTGATATTTACTAAAGCGTCAGACACCATGGATTACGCAACATAGATTCAGGAATTATTTTATTGTCTTTAGTTTGTGGAGTTGTTTAAGTAAAAAAAGGTTTTTTCTTTTTTTCCCCTTTTTTCTTTTTTTTTCTTTTATTTTTTTTTACCCTGAGTGTGCATAACAGTGCTGAAAGCAGACTAATCCTCCCTCTCCAGATGTGGTGTCACAGCTTCACAGATGCTTGTGCTGCACTTGACTCACCCTGTGGACAGCAGCCAGTCACCCACACACACTCCAATCAAGGGCAGTCAGCTGAAACAAGTGGCATCAAACATTTTCAGCTCGCACACGCGCACATACCTGTGACACATCAAATGCATATTTCACACCGTGACAAAACATTTATTGCACACAATCGCACTCTCTCTCACACACACACACACACACACACACACACACA